GGCGGCCGGAGCCCCGCCCCCTCCCCGGTAAGTGGCGGCGCGGAGAGCTGGTCCGGCCGCGGGGAGAGCCGCGCAGAGCCCCCAGACCCTCGGTAGAGCCCCGATCCACCGGGGCCCCCCTCGCAGAGAACCCCCCGAATGGACCCGGGGCCAGCAACGCCGCAGCTCGGGATAGGCCAGAGAGGGGCGTTATCCACCTGTGACTAAAGCCGGCGGCGCGGCCCTCCCTGGCGCCCGGTTGGGCCTGGGGCTTGAACTCGTAGAGTCTGGGCGCTGAGTTTCCTGGGCCTCGTGAACCGCAGCTCCACTTCTGGCTTTTTTTGGGGGGGGGTGGTTCACGAGCGATCACGAGTCTCGCGGGACTTCTCCACCCAGGCTGGTTTTGAACTGCCATCCTCAGATCTCCCGAGAAGCTCGGATTTCACCAAGCAGCCGGTGGGAACTCCCGCTTGCTCCCTAAGGGAAGTGGAGGAGGAAGAGGAGGTGGTGGGAGGAGTCCTTGCTGGGAAGTTGGGAATATGTTGTAGGAGAAGAAAGATGAGGGAGTCACCTTTGCCACCCCCCCACCCCCACCCCATCCATCCGTATTCACTCCTGGATGGACAGCTGAGTCTCTAGTGTTGCTGGTCCTGATCTGTTTACCAATTGTTGGAATGTAGAGGATTCAAATCCCCCATCTTGGGTGAACTTTTGGAAAGTAGATTTGAGAATGGCTAGGAAGGGAGCATTACCCATGGGAGACAGGAATGCTAGATTGTAATCCAGCCACTCTAAGATGGGTGGAAAGAGACCCAAGTTACCAAATTAAGTTTGTAAAGTGTGGTACAAGGACAACTAAACCTCCTGAAATTTCCTAGGTGTCCCCTTTATTAGAGACGTGTGGCCAGTAGGCTCAGAAAACTTTTGGGTTGGAATAAGACAGATGAGGACATCATGGGGACCATGAAATTTAGTATACCTGACAGTAATGGGATAGAATTCTTTATTTGAAGCCGGGTGCCAGTGGCTCACACCTGTAATCCTAGCTACTCAGGAGGCTGAGATTTGAGGATCACAGTTCAAAGCCAGTCCAGGCAAGGAAAGTCCATGAGGCTCTTATTTCCAATAAACCACTAGAAAACCAGAAGTGGCGCTGTGGCTCAGGTGGTAGAGTGCTCACCTTGAGCTGAAGAGCTGAGGGACTGCGCCCAAGCCCAGAATTCAAGCCCCACGACCAACCAAAAAAAAAAAAAGAATTCTTTATTTGAGACAAGAAATTGGGGTTGGATTGATGCTTGAGGTGAAAATTAAAACTTCCTCACGAAAGGAATCCTGCTCAGCACCCTAAAATCTCAGACCAGAGCTTTGGGTGCCAGGTCAGGATCCTGAGATCTCCATGCCCCTCAGTCTGAGTCTTTTTTTTTTTTTTCTTATGGGTAAAATGGAAACACTTGAAAGACACTAGAGTGCTTGCCCAGCAAACAGGAGGCTCTTAAGTTCAGTCCCAGCACTGGAGTCCAGGAGTGAACTAAAGTGAAGCCATCAGTCACTGGGGAGAGGGAGAGGAGAAGGGAGAGGGAGAATCTGAGTTGCTATAGTGCAGAAGAAGGAAAGTTCTAGGGCCCTCCTGTACATCCCTCTGAGGCACTGGGATCCTTTCCCAACAAACAGCTTTGGGAAACAGGAAAAAGCAGCTTCCTCCTCTAGAATCCTGGCAAGATGGTGCTGTGCCTTTATACCAAACCCTTTGTTTTCTTTCTCCTCCTTTTTGTTGTCAGTCATGGGGCTTGATGAGTTCAAGACCTGGGCACTGTCCCCTAAGCTCTTTTGCTCAGTCTAGAACTCTACCACTTTGAGCCACCGTGCTGCTTTCAGTTTTCTGGTGGCTAATTGGAGATAAGAGTCTCACAGACTTTCCTTCCCCTGAGTGGCTTTGAACTGTGGACCTCAGATCTCAGCTTTCTGATATAGGATTAAAGGCATGAGCCACCAGCACTTGGCAGGCCCCTTGTTTTCTACTGAACAGGACTACCTGGAGCAGGGAAGAAGCTGGAACTGAGGTCAGTGAGTCCCAGTCCAGTATAACCGAGACCATTAGTTCTTACCCAACAGGGTTGCCCACTATCCCCAATATAGTTTCTGCTGGAGTTTTTATTCCCTATTGCCCTCTTCCATCCAGGAAACCATAGAAATAGGCTATGGGCTCTACCCCAAAGCCTTTTTCCTGGGAAGCCTTAGTCCTTAAACAGTAAGCTCAGGGTAAAGACATAATGTCTGCTGTCTCATCCATCCTCCCCATTTGTCCCCATAAGCGCTTTAAACAGGTTAGGGGTCTCTAAGGCAGAGGACCCTGGCTATCCTGGGCCCAGAATCATTGTGAACGAGACCTTCTGGCATTGCTCAGTGGTGATCTCAGCTGTATCAGTGACACTCCCATTCCTACCAAACTCTGTCTGACGTCAACAGGAAATAAGGCTGAGGCAGTGGAGCCAAGTGAGTTTACTGGAAGAATGTTAGTTCCCACCCTCCATACTTCTAAAATACAGTCTCTGAAGGGGGAGGAAGCGGTGGATGAATAGGAAGGGGAGGAGGGGGCTGAGTGGTCAAACTAAAAACTTCGTATGTTTAGACAGGGAAAAGGCAGAAACCAGCTCTGTCTCTCTCTCTCTCTCTCTCTCTCTCTCTTTCTTGCTTAGCAGTTGGGGGGGGGGGATGATAGACTTTACCAGGAAGTTGCTTGTTTGCTTCTGGCAGATTGGATCCTTGCCTGAAGCTGCCTTTTGTGCAGTTCTGGCCAAAGTTAAATAACATGTCACCGTGATTTCCTCACTGTGTCTGACAAGTATGGGAACTGGCTCCAAAACCTCACCAAGGGGTGCTGGAGGAGAGGGAAAAATTGGACTGCCTTCTCTCAGACAAACCGTGACTTCAGCCCAGCTGGGGTGCTACAATTTTGCTGTGCAGTTGAGATGACTATTTTATTGTTTTCTTTTTGCCTTTATTCATTTATTATTATTTTGTGGAACATGGGGGCTTGAACTCTGGGCCTGGACGCTGTCCCTCAGCTCTTCAGCTCAAAGTTAGCACTCTACCACTTGAGCCACAGCGCCACTTCCAGCTTTTTCTGCTGGCGTGGTGCTGAGGAATCGAACCCAGGTCCTCATGCATGGGAGGCAAGCACTCTGTATGCATTCTGGCCTGTTGTTTAGGATGAGCCAGCGGAGTGGAAGACACCAGAACTTTCTCAGGCTGAAATTGAGCAGAAGATCAAGGAGTACAATAGCCAGATAAACAGCAACCTCTTCATGAGCCTGGTGAGTTGATTGCTCAGAAACACGGGTATGGGAAGGGTCAGGAACCTAGCTGTATGCCTGATGCACAAAGAGCTGTAGTAAAGGTATTCTCAAATGGGCCCAAGTAGTCATTAATGTATAACCCGCTTAGCCCCAAGTGGACTAAACCCAAGACTCCCATCTCATGTAGAACCTACTCTTATGGCTTGTTTTTTTTCCCCTCTCTCTCTCCTCTTTAGAACAAGGATGGCTCCTACACAGGCTTCATCAAAGTTCAGCTGAAGCTGGTGCGTCCTGTCTCTGTGCCCTCCAACAAGAAACCACCCTCTCTTCAGGATGCCAGGCGAGGCACAGGGCGGGGCACAGCTGTGAAGCGCCGCACCTCCTTTTACCTGCCCAAGGATGCTATCAAGCACCTACACGTCCTGTCCCGCACTCGGGCACGCGAGGTCATTGAGGCTCTGCTTCGCAAATTCTTGGTGGTTGATGATCCCCGGAAATTTGCACTCTTTGAACGGGCTGAGCGTCATGGACAAGGCAGGCTTCCTCTCCTCCTCTGCCCTCTATGAACCTACAAAGGCATGTATATCTGTGCATGCAAGGGCTGAGGCAGCTACGCTTGTCTCTGACTCATACATCTTTTCCCCTCCTGGCCTTTAGTGTACTCCCGGAAGCTCTCAGATGATGAACAGCCCCTGAAGCTACGGCTTCTTGCAGGACCCAGTGAGAAGGCTCTGAGCTTTGTCCTGAAGGAGAATGACACTGGGGAAGTGAATGTGAGCATGGTCTTCCTTATAGTCTTGGTTGTCACCTAGTAAGGCTACATTAAGACTTGGAGGATCCAGGCGCTGGTAGATCACGCCTGTAATCCTAGCTACTCAAGAGGCTGAGATCTGAGGATCGCAGTTCAAAGCCAGCCTGGGTAAGAAAGTCCGTGAGACTTTTATCTCCAATAAACCACCAGAAAACCAGAAGAGGTGCTGTGGCTCAAGTGGTAGAGCGCTAGCCTTGAGCTGAAAAGCTGAGGGACAGCGCCCAGGCCCAGAGTTCAAGCCCCGTGACCCACACAAAAAAAAGACTTAGAGAAGGAATAGAGCTGGAGGACAAACTCTGCAAAGCCTTTCCCAGGAGTGTGTGAGCCTTGTAACTAAAGCGAAAGGTTCCACATCACTTATGTCAGGACCAACAGCCTGTTAAAGAACCCAGGAAGAATTGTCTTGGTATTCTGGTCTTTCCTGATGCTTAATATTCCAAACACTGAGGCATCTGTCTGACCATTTGATAAGCCTAGATCAGATCAAAGCCACATAAATGCCCAAGACCAATATAGCACAGGCTCCTCTTCAAGAATTTCAAGACTTTATTTTTTCCCCCAATTTTTTTTTTAGGATCAATTAGTTATACAGGGAAGTTTCATTTTGACATATCTATAGGTGCATACAATATGCCTTCATCAAGCCGGGTGGGCTGGCTCAGGCCTGTAATCCTAGCTACTCAGGAGGCTTAGATCCAAGGATTGCAGTTCAAAGCCAGCCCAGACAGGAAAGGCTGTGAGACTCTTATCTCCAATAAACCACTCAGAAAACCAGAAGTGGCGCTGTGGCTCAAGTGGTAGAGTGCTTGCCTTGAGTTGAAGAGCTGAGGGACAGCGCCCAGGCCCTGAGTTCAAGCCCCACAGGCAGCAGCAACAACAACAACAAAAAGACAATTGGTGTGTAGTTAGTGCTTAGATGTACAAAGGCCCTGATTTTGCTCCGTTACCCCATCTCCTTTTATTGCTGGTCCTAGAACTTGAACTCAGGGCCTGAGTGCTGCCCCTGAGCCTCTTTGTGTTCAAGGCTAGCACTCTATCATTTGAACCACAGTGCTACTTCTGGTCTTTTCTGTTTATATGGTACTGAGGAGTCAAACCCAGGGCTTCATGCATGCTAGGCAAGCACTCTACCACTAAGCCACATTCCCAGCTTCTGAGTAGTTTATTGAAGATAAGAGTTTCATGGACTTTTCTGTCCAGGCTGGCTTCAAACCACAATCTTCAGATCTCAGCCTCCTGAATAGCTAGGATTATAGGCATGAGCCACTGGCACCCAGTCCTATGCAATTTGGATTAGATTCAGAGTTGGGCACAACCTGACAACAAGTAGTTAAGGAACATCCATTTAGTGCCTCTTAATTGAGGTAACTTTGTGGGATTCGTTTTATGTACAGACTACTATTGGGTATCCCTGGCACTGACGATTCAGACAAAAACCTAACATCAGAAAGCCCACACAGTCCTTGCCTGGGTGACCATGATGTGCTGATTTTCTCTGGAGGGGTTCTGCTGGGTTGCTTGAGCCTGCTGCAGCCTGTGTACCTCCTGTGCCCCCTTACAGTGGGATGCCTTCAGCATGCCTGAACTACACAACTTCCTGCGTATCCTGCAGCGAGAGGAAGAGGAGCACCTTCGCCAGATCCTCCAGAAGTACTCCCATTGCCGCCAGAAGATCCAAGAAGCCCTACATTCCTGTCCTTTGGGATGACCTCTTAGACCCTGGCTGGCAGGAGGAGTGCAGGCAGTGCCAAGCGCGTGCCGTGTGAATGTGAGCGAGTCCATTGGGCCTGAAGAGTGAGTGTGCGTGCAGGTTCCCTCCTGTTGAGGGAAATAAGCCCAGAAAAGAGCAAAGAAGCTGTCCCCGTGTCCACCGGTGGGTGTAGCAGGGCATGGCTTGCCGCCCCTCTGACCCTCACGTTCAGGGTCACAGTGGGCCAGGGCTACTCTAGGTAGCAGCAGCTCCAGGTTTGCAGCAGGGGTGGAGCAGACAAGAGTCTCCGTACTTCATTTCTCACAAGTGAGAATCTTGGGAGACTCTCCAAACACAAAAGGGTGGTGTTTTCAGGGATGGGGGGGCCCTGATCGGTGGGGAAAGGTTTGGGGTCTTGGACAAAGTCCCAGGATAGCCCTAATTAGAGCCAAGAGTGGGTGCTCAGAGTAAAGCAGACATCGAGGTAGACTCTCTGGTTCTCTCTCTAGTGCCTTATGAGTCACAACTTCCTAAGGTCCCAGGGAGCTGCCTCAGTGCCGCCCCCAAGGAGGAAGTCTCTGGGCCAGGCCCATTCCTTGTTTGCCAAAGCTAGGGTTTCTCCCTCAGATTTTCTTAATGAAGTGTGTGAATGTATGTAATGTTTTATGGCCTCAACTGAATGCCTCCTGTGGGAAAATGGATGAGGGATGACAGTCATCATCAGGGCCTGAGGCCTGAAAGAATTGGCTGAATAAAGATGAAAAAGTCCTCCTGCTTTTGGACTCTTTATTGTGTGTGCGCAAGCCACTGTAGCCCTGATGACAAGATTGCAGGGCATCTTCGGGGGGAGGTTGCCTTGAGACCAATGTGACGATGTATACCCTTATCACTCAGCACCCTGGGTCTCAAGTTGTGGGGTGGGGGGGTCAAGATAGGCTGCAGCTAGAGCTTGCGAAACCAGTCTCTTAACATGCACCAAGCTCTGGGAGAAACTGCAGACCAGACACCACACATGGCACCTATGGTTGTTAACAGTTCTTGTTTTTTATGAAGCACACATTGATTAGTTTGGAAAGAACACTGAATTTGAAGCTCTTCAGACCTCGGCAGTTGTAAAACTGTAAAGCTAGTTATTAGATTTTCTTAGGCTTAAACAAACTAGCTACTTAGAGGCTCAGATCTGAGGATCATGGTTCAAAGCCAGCCAGGGCAGGAAAGTCCTTAGGACTCATCTCCAATGAACCACCAGAAAACAAGAAGTGGCCCTGTGGCTTAAAGTGGTTGAGCACTAGCCTTGAGCTGAAGAGTTCAGGTGCCCAGGCCCTGAGTTCAAGCCCCACCCATTGGCTAAAAAAGAAAAAAATGCCAGGCACTGGTGGCTCACACCTGTAACTCTAGCTACTCAGGAGGCTGAAATTTGAGGATCATGGTTCAAAGCCAGGCCAAGCAGGAAAGTCCATGAGACACTTATCTCCAGTGAATCACCAGAAAACCTGAAGTAGCCTGTGGCTTAAAGGGTAGGGTATGAGCCTTGAGCAAAAGAGCTCAGGGACAGCACCCAGGCCCATGTGGGGGGGGGGGGTAGGGGAGGGAGAAGGGGAAGAGTTTTCTACTTTTAACATTTCATAGAACATTTTTAATTAGCATCATTACTTGTACAAGGGGCTTATCACATGACATCATGTTTGCAGAAAGTGTACCCCGATCGACTTCATTCCCTCTATCCCTCAAAACAATTTCAAGGGCTTTTACTACTCTTCATACATCGCCTAAAAGCCCTTAGATTCTGCTCCTCACAAAAAGAGCTGTGAGAATAAAAGCCAAATGGCCACCTTGGCACCCTGGTCTGAGGGGTCTGGGTTTAATGTGCCCTTTGGGCTTGAGATTGGTATTGGGACGACCACCAACCGGACCACGGCGCCCAGAGCACAGTCAGAGCCTCCCTGGTAAGCCCAGCTGCCCCAGTGACGAGCGCAGAGCCTGCTGGGATGGGGGGGGGTGTTCCACAGAGCATGCTGGGATACCTATGAGGATGTCCATTGGCTTTGCCCCAAAGAACGACGAGAGTAGCAGCCAATCAGAGGGGGCAGCGTGAGGAAGCGGAAGTGAGGTTTCCTTGGAGACAGCCGAGCCCGCAGAAGGCGGCGGCGGCGGCGGCGGCGGCACCTGCGAGCGGAGGCCGGGGCTGGGCATGGTGGTGCCCGCTGCACTGTGAGAGGCGAGCGGCCGCGGGGACCGCCATGCGCCGGCGGCCCTGACATGGGCGCCAGCGGCTCCAAAGCTCGGGGCCTTTGGCCCTTCACCTCGGCAGCGGGGGGCGGCGGCCCGGAGGCGGCGGGCACTGAGCAAGCTTTGGTGCGGCCTCGATCCCGTGCGGTGCCACCCTTCGTGTTCACGCGCCGCGGGTGAGGGCCTGGGGTTCCGTCTCGGAGGAACAGCGGGCGTCACGCAGGGGGAGCCGGACAAACCCCTTCCCTCCCCACCTCCCCCCCGTTAGAGGGAAGACAACTCCCATCGTTTGCTCCCCCATCGGAGCAAAGGGGTGGGGAAAGCCGGGCCGTGGCCCCACGAGGCCTAGAGGTTTCTGAAGGTGTTCCCAGAGAAGGGTGGAACCGAGGCTTGGCCCCCTGAGCATGCGCTCCTCCGCAGAGAGGATAGCCACGAGCCTTCAGGATCTTCTTGTCATTCCTTCCAACTCTTGCGTGCAAACTGGAGACTAATACTCTCCCTCTCCCCTTATGCTAAGGGGGAGAATGACTTACGGTTTAGATGTCTTCCTTCCGCAAATTAGTGGGCTTGGACCACCCCACCCCTTCCTCTAGTAGTGACTGGGAAATCAAGGCTGGGATACCCAATGTTTAAAGTGAGACCTGGGGAGGGGTTGAAGACCCTCACCCAGATCTGGAATGCGGTCTTAACTCCTCTTTCCACAGGAGCACCAGAATGATCTGATCCTAGATGAGCTTCTGGCACTCTCTCTGTGGTGGAAATGGTGGCTGCATTGGCCGCTGGGAGGAAGGGAGGCCGTTTTCCTCTCCTTCCCAGCTCAGACATCCACGTCTTAGTCTTTGGCACTTGGCTAGTAATGTGTTCTGGAATGAAACCAACATCCCTAAGCCACCATCTTGCTCTCTGTAGAATCCCTGAATGAAGGGCCTGATGTTGGAATGGCTGCTCGTATAGAACAAACCAGTGATGAGAAGTAGCTTTGGTTGCTTGAACCAAAGTTCAAGCAAAGCTGCTCATGCTTCTCCATGGTCTGTGGCATTTGCCATGAACAGTTTATTCTGTTTCTTCCACAGTTCCATGTTCTATGATGAAGATGGAGATCTGGCTCATGAATTCTATGAGGAGACAATCATCACCAAGAATGGGCAGAAGCGGGCCAAGCTGAGGCGGGTACATAAGAATCTGATTCCTCAGGTGAGGGGCTGGGCAGTGGCCATAGAATTCACATCAAGTACATTGCAATAGACAGAAAAGAGGTCTACTGGGGGAGGAGCTGGGAAGAACAGGAAGGCTTCCTGGAGTAAAGACCTCTGAGCCAACCCTCACTAGCCTCTGTTTCCATGGCAGGGCATCGTGAAGCTGGATCCTCCCCGCATCCATGTGGATTTCCCTGTGATCCTCTATGAGGTGTGAGCCTGGGGGTGGCAGACACAAGCACTCCCTGCCCCAGCAAGTAACTCAAGTGTGACTTCCACCGAGGAGTCCAGGCTGTGGCCACAACCCTGAATAGACTCCAATGGCCCAGAACTTTCAGCTGTGAGCAGGGCAAGTCCCTTGGTGTTAATCAGGCAATGGTTTGTTTGTGGGCAAGAGGTGGTTGGTGGCTGGTGAAGCTAATGGCCAAGTTTCCAGTCTACCCTCCCCAACCACCCCTGCAAGAAGCATGGCAGGCCATATGCCAGTCAAGAATGCCTGGTTGCAGGTTCCTTGCTTGGCCTGCTTTCTTCCAAGCTTGCCTAGGGCCCAACCCTGCTAGAAGCTACAGCACTTTACAAGCAAAGTCTGCCTTCTTCCAGCCCCTGGGCTGTGGGGGCTGAACACACGTGGGAACTTCCTTCCCTCACTTCCCTTACCCCCTAGTTGGAGCATTTCAGCCGTTTGCTACCTCGATTCCTCCTGTATTGGACAGAGGTGGGGGCAGCACCAGCCTGATTCTTCCTGCCTACCTGCCATTTGTTCCCACTCTGGGATGGACAGTTTACTAACTGTTCATAGGAATGGATACTGGTGTTGGAGGCTTCTTCCTTCAAGCAGGGCTAGGCTGATCCCTCCCCCCTGCAACTAGTTTTGCCCTCCTCCCCAGATAAAAGGGTGCAAGCCAGGGTCGGGACGGGCTGTGCCTGTGGGGAGGTGTCTCAAGCCACCTGTTCTGTTCTATCTCCCTTGCCTTTCCACCAGCTCCTTTTACCCTGTTTGAGAGGGACTGTCCAGTGAGGTGAACCACACAGTAGAGCTGGTGCCACTATAAGGAACCCAACCACCCATTCCCCTGAAATCTCTTCACCTCTTCAGGATCACTCAAGGGAAAGTACTGGAGCCCCCTTGGTAGGGACAGAAAGGAGGGAAAGACCATAAAAGGAATACTTAAAATGTGAAGGTTTGTAAATAATCTAGTTCCAGGATGATGTTGGGGCAGAGTCTGATTTCTATATAGAGATGACTTTTTTTTTTTTTTTTTAATTCTTTATTGTGTAAGCTTTGTGCTTCTGGAGTGTGGGAAATGGCTTGGGGTGGGTGACCCCCAGCATAGGAAGACTGTTGTTATTTGTTCAATTTCAATAAAATTATTTGTAGATCCTGCATATGAGAGTGGCATCTTTTGGAACTGGGGACACTAAATGTGGAGGCTACGGTCCCAGCTCCATAGGTAGGCCTGGGCTGGGGACTGGCCCCCTTCCACCTCCAACACCTAGAGTGGTTAACCTTAGCTCTGCCAGTGGCAATACCAGTCATGACCAGCAGGTGGCTGTGTTCGCACAGATATGACCACAGGCGCTCCTGTCCCTCGTTGGTTGTGGTGGCAATCAGAGGTCTTGTAGCTACTTCACTATTGACTGGCCCCAGCTATCTGACCCCAGATAGTTCTGGATATTGTCATCTGACCTCAAGTGAAGTTAACAGCTAAAGTCCCATGGACCTCAGGCCTGACCTTAGATGAATAGCTACCAGACAGGTGTCACCCACACTTGTCACCCACCAGGCTTTGCGACCCAGGCTCTCTTGCTTCCTCCCAGGCCACCACTGGGAAAAGGAACTTGGGCTTTTATTCCCAGAAGGCAAGGCGCAGCGCCCCCCCCCCCACAAATACTTTCTTTGCTCTCTGCCGAATTTTCTGGGCCTGCTATGAAGCACGTTCTCTGCGAGGCCTAGTCTTTGCCATCACCTCACCAAATTCCAGGTAGAGAAGGTGGAGGAATGTGGGCATCCAGGCATCTGGGTGAGGGGAAAAATGGCCTGCCAGTCTTTCAAAGTCTTGAATTTGTCAAGTCCCTTGCAGCCTGGCCTTGCACTTCTATGAGCTGCCTTCCCATCCCCCCATAATATGCCAGGCCTAAGATCCTGACTTCCTCTACCCACCTCTGCCATCCACCCACCCACCCACCTTGCCAACTGGCTCTCCAGCAGCCAGAGCTCACCAATACATACCAGACAACATCCTATCTCCTGCCACCACGCTCCAGCCTGGGGGAACTCCCTGGGCTGGACCTGGCCCTCTGACCCCAAAGCTGGAGACAATGGGAGTCAGGGCAGTGCTTCCCTACTCCCTCCCACTGGGCTGTGCTCACTTCCTTCCTGCTGTGCCGCTGGAGGAAGTGTCCCTGCCTAGGGACAGTCAGGCCTGGCCTTTGTTGTACCAGGGGTCCCCACCCTTGGAGCCTCTGTCTCTTGTGAAACCAACACACTGATACAAGGACAATGTCCCCTCCCCTGCCATTTCCTGAGAGACAGACTCCAAGGTATGTACCCAACTTCCCCAGCCCCCATACAACCTTCTGTTCCAAGAGGGGACCTCTGGGTATTGGAAAAGTGAGCTCGTGGGGTGCTGAGAAGCAGGTTTGGGGTCGATAGATTTATCTGCACTGGAGAACTCTGTTGGAAACTTGCTACAACCCACTGCGGCGCCATCTATATTGAATGCACACCTTTCCTAGTCCATGTGGTAAAGGGCCTCTACTCTGTGCAGCAGACTCTGAAACCCAGCCAGCAGGAGAGCACCCCCCACAGCCACACTCATCAACATACTGTCCCCTCTGTCATTCGGGGACTCTTCCACTCTCACTAGGGGGAAAAAAATGACTCAACTCCTGGAAGTTCCCCCAACCCTCCCCCCTCACCAGGGCTGATTCCCTTCTTTGGCACCTGCTCTAGAGGACAATCAGCTGACTGTTAGCCCCAAGTCATTTGACTCCCACAAAGCCCACCACCTCACACACTCTCATGGATTTTGAGGAAGACCCCTAACATCAGGAAAAGTTCAAGCAAATAGATTCTTGTGGGCATGGAGAAACTGGCACCTGAGTTTGGACCCAGAGCCTCCCTGGCAACCTGAGACAGCCAGTGGGGGGGTCAGAGCCTAGTCAGGAAGGGCTTGGGAAAGGGCAGATGGCTAGCAGCGCATAGGGATGGAAAACGGTGAAGAAGGCGATCTCCTCCCCCCACTCCCCGCCCTGTTCCTAGCCCTTTCCTCTCCGAGGGGCAGCAGGAAGTGAGGAGAAAAGGGCTGGGATGGGAGGCGCGGGAGGAGCGCAAGGGAGGGAGGAAGGGAGGGAATGGGGAGTCCTAGGTCCGGGCTGCCCAGTGGGGCACAGCTGGCGCGAGTAACCTGGCCGGGAGAGACTCGCCTCAAGAAGGAAGAACCCCCCCCCATCGACCTCCTACTAGGCCCCAAAGACTCCCACACAGGTGAGCCCATTGCGCGCCCCACGGCCTTCACTTGCACGCGGGAAGGAGACGGGGTTAAAAAGAGAAAGGAGCACGGACTCTCGGGGGAAAAACTGGGTCCTCGATCCAGGATCGGATCTTAGAGGTGAAATCTCACCCGGGGCCTCCAGCTCCCAAACTACCCCCTCACCCCACCCCCAGGTCAGAAGGGTCTTGGGAGGTGAAGGGGTTCTGGGGCTCCGGGAGCCCCTCCATCCAGTCGGATGCCTCTGGGGTCCGGGCCCCAAACTTCTGTAAAAGTGGCACCCTCATCAGAGTAAGGGCACCCTTTCCCCCCTCCTCCTCCCTCCCCCCCACCTCCCCCAATACTGGATAGAAGAGGATCCCAGGAAACTGGGGCCGGGATGCCTCCTTTCTCACGCAGGACGGGGGAGAGGGCACCCTACGTCCCCCTCACCCCCTGGCCCCTCTGAATTTCCCCGATCCCGACCCCGCCCGCCATGGAAGCGACCCACAGTTTCCAGGACAACCCCGGCCTGGGCCCGGCCCCCTTAGCAGGGCTGGGAGGCGGCGCTTGGCTCCAGGGCCCCGGCGGGGCCGGGGGCGTGGCCAAGCCGAGTCGAGGGCGGGGCAGGGGGCGGGGCAGGGCTGAGCAGGGGGCGGGGCCGAGACGGGGGCGTGGCTTCCTTTCAGACTGCCCCACTGGGAGCGGTGGGAGCCCTGGACCCTCAGAAAGTGCTAGAAACAACACTCAGGGGGTGCACAACTAGACCCGCAGCTGCCCCTCAACCCAGGCCTTAGGTGTCCCATAGCATCTTCCCCCCCGGGCCGGTCCCCCGTCCCTTCTCTTACCCGGACCCTTTAAGAGACTGGCCGCCCCGGGCGGGGGGGGGGGAGGGCTGTACCACCGACGGCGGCCTGGGGGGGGGGAGATGGGAGCTGATGGACTCTGGAGGCCGCGGCTCCCGCCGAAGTCACGTGTCCGAGCGGCTTCGGGTTCGCAGATAGGGAACCACATCCCACGGCAGCAGAGCTCAGCGGCCCTCGAACCCCAAGTGCGGTGTGAGCGGAGCCAGCGCCCCCCGCCCCCCCCCGCGCCACGGCCTCACATCGCGTCTCCCGCCCACCCCGGCGAGCGGCTTCTTAAAGGAGCCGCGGGCCTGGGGGCGGAACCTGCACGCAGCGGTGCTTGGTGGGGGTTGGGGGGGAGGGGGGGCAGGCTCAAAGGCCGCGAGCGAGTGAGAGAGCGAGAGAGAGCGAGCCGGGGCTGAGGCTGGGCCCGGCATGGCGGCGGCGGCCCGGGCGTGGGTTCCCGTGGCACCCTGTGCGAGGTGAGCTCGGTCGGGACCCACGCTGGACCATGAACCCCCCTCCCCACATCACCCCCCCCAGAGAGATGGCCGTGGAACCCCACCTCCCCTGGGGGCTGCAGCCCCACGTGGGGGCTGGGGGCGGGGTCCCGCACAAAGGCCGGCGGTGTGTTCTCCACCCGGGCCCCCCCCCATTGCTGGGGTGGGGGGGGCGTGGGGAGGGCGAGGCACGCGCATGCCCGATCTGGATGGCCATAGAGGGCAGGTCGGTGGGGGGGGGGCTGGAGGACCACTGCCCCCCTTTGTCCCCGCGGGGCCTCCTCCAAGCCTGGGACTGTGTCTGTGCGCCCGACTTCAGGCCTCTTTGCCACCGAAGCTGTGTCCAGATTGCGGTCTGGGTCGTGGGTCCTGCCTTACCATATTGTGGTTTCTATGGATCCAGGATTCTTCTCTTGGGTAGATGAGAAAAGTTGGAGGGGCGGGAGGGGGGGGGCTGGAGTTCAGGCCTTTCTGAAGCATCTAGGTGCTTCTAGCCACCACCACCGGTTCATCCCCTTTGACCCTCCCTGCGGGGGTCAAAGGTGTAACAGATTCTTGTGCAGATTCTTGTCTGTGACCTGTGATCTCTCTCTTCCGTGGTCTGAATAGCCAAGTACACAGAGCCTTCCCCCCTGTCCCCCCCCCCCCAGCCTGGGCTTTTATAGCACAGAGGGTGTTCAGGTTGGACACTCCAGCCTAAACTTGTTCACTCCTACCCTTCTTTCAGCTCCTGAGCTGGTGCTGGGCAGGTGATCTTGCCTGCAGTGCCCAGCATGTGGACAGGCCTGGGCCCCGTCATCACATTGGCTCTGGTCCTGGCGGTGGCATGGGCCGCGGAGCTCAAGCCCACAACGCCACCCATCTTCACAGGCCGGCCCTTTGTGGTAGCCTGGGATGTGCCCACACAGGACTGTGCCCCACGCCACAAGGTACCACTCGACCTGAGTGTCTTTGATGTGGAGGCCTCACCTAATGAAGGTTTTGTGAACCAGAATATCACCATCTTCTACTACAACCGCCTCAGCCTGTATCCACGTTTTGATTCAACCGGGATGTCCGTGCACGGCGGTGTACCACAGAATGGCAGCCTCTGGGCACACCTGCAGATGCTGAAGAAATCTGTTGAGCACTACATCCGTACCCAGGAACCCCCAGGGCTAGCAGTCATTGACTGGGAGGACTGGCGGCCTGTGTGGGTCCGCAACTGGCAGGACAAGGATGTGTACCGCCAATCATCACGCCAGCTGGTAGCCAGCCGCCACCCTGATTGGCCCGCAGACCGAATAGTCAAACAAGCACAGTATGAGTTTGAGTTTGCTGCGCGCCAGTTCATGCTGGAGACACTACGCTATGTCAAAGCAGTGCGACCTCGACACCTCTGGGGCTTCTACCTCTTTCCCGATTGCTATAATCATGATTATGCACAGAACTGGGAGACCTACACCGGCCGCTGTCCTGATGTGGAGGTAGCCCGCAACGACCAGCTGGCCTGGCTGTGGGCTGAGAGTACAGCGCTTTTCCCCTCTGTCTACCTGGATGAGACACTTGCTTCTTCCGCTCAGGGCCGCAACTTTGTTAGCTTCCGTGTTCAAGAGGCGCTTCGCGTGGCTCACACCCATCATGCCAACCACGCGCTCCCAGTCTACGTCTTCACGCAACCCACCTACACCCGCAAGCTCAGTGGGCTTACTGAGGTATGTGTCTTCCCAAGCTGTACCTTCTTGGGAACCTCTGCTTATGGAGAGAAACCGAGGATCTAAAGCTCTGTTCATAGCCAGTCATATTTCTTCTAATCATCCTTGTTGTGATCTTATGAAAGGGTAATGATATCCTCATTTTATAAATACACTGAGATGCGAGAAGTTTAGCTATAAGCCTCTAGAAAAGCCAAGGACAACATAGAGACTTAAACCCAGGCATTCTGATTTTTGGAGTCAGTCCTTGTAAATGTACTGTAGGTTCATGGGTGCCCTTGATTTGGAGGCTAAGGCCCAAAGTGGGGATAGAAATGAGGTTAACCATTTAAGAAGAAAGAAAAACAGCCAGGTGCTGGTGAATCACATCTGTAGTTCTAGCTACGCAGGAGGCTGAGATCGGAGGATCGAGATTCAAAGCCAGTTTGGGCAGGCAAGTCTATGAGACTTTTTATCTCTGATTATCTAGCCTGAAAGCCAGAAGTATGGCTTAAGTGGTTAAAATGCCAGCCTTCGGGGGGAGAAATAGCCAATCAAGAGCACCTTAGGCTGAGATGAAGCCCAAATACCAGCATTTTTTTTAAAAAAAAAAGGAAGGAAGGAAGGAAGAAAATCAGTCTCTCTGAGGCATGTGGGGAGGGCTACCACAGGAAGAGGTCAGCAGATTTGAACCAGCCTCGCTTTTCTCGCCCTTTGCTGTTAGTTTTCCTCTGTGACTGTCCCCTCTCCACACAGATGGACCTCATTTCTACCATTGGTCAGAGTGCAGCCCTGGGTGCAGCCGGTGTCATCCTGTGGGGTGACTCAGTGTACACTTCAAGTGTGGTAAGTGAGACTCACCTAGCCAGAGCTGAGGTACAAGGAGAGGAGAGGGAACAAAAACAAAAAAATTGACCTTGGCTCCCAGCTACTATCCTGGAACAAAAAGAAGGCACTCCTACCCTGTGGCCAGGAAAGAGGAAGTGCTATCCTACACAGCTGAGTTCCACCCTTCCCTGCCTCTTATCCAGATGGATTCTAGTCTCCAGTCTCTCCTTCAATCTCAGTTCTCAGCAGAATAGGGTGTGTGTGTGTGTGTGTGTGTGTGTGTGTGTGTGTGTGTGTGTGTGTGTGTGTGTGTGTGTGTGTGTGTGTGTGTGCGCGCACACAGGTAGACATCTATGCTGTGAAGAAAAAGTACTGAGCCGGGAATGTGGCTTAGTGGTAGAGTAGCTTGCCTAGCATATATAAAGCTCTGGGTTCGATTCCTCAGTACCACATACACAGAAAAAGCCAGAAGTGGCACTGTGGCTCTCAAGTGGGTAAAGTGCTAGCCTTGAGCAAAAGAAGCTCAGAGACAGTGCCCAGGCCCTGAGTTTAAGCCCCAGGACTGGCCAAAAAAAAAAAGTACTGCCAGACTCAGGATGTGATTCAGTGGTAGACCACTTGCCTAGCATGCACAATGCCCTGGGTTCAGTCCCCAGACCACATAAAAAAAGATAGTGTGGCCAGGTCCCAGGGGCTCCTACCTGTAATCCTAGCTGCTGAGGACGCTGAGAACTGAGGGTCATTCTTATCTCCAGTAAAGAAAAAGCCGGAAGCAGGCCTTCAGCAAAAGAAGCTCAGAGTCTGAGCTGGGAAGGTGGCTCAGTGGTAGAGTGCTTGCCTTGCATGCATGAGGCCCTGGGTTCCATTCCTCAGCACCACATAAGCAGAAGAAGCTGGAAGTGGTGCTGTGGCTCAAGCGGTAGAGCACTCGCCTTGAGCTGAGGGACAGCGCCCAGGCCCAGAGTTCAGGCCCCACGACCGACAAAAACAAAAAAGAAGACGCTCAGAGTCAGTGCCCAGGTCCAGCCCCCCCCCCAAAAAAAAAAAAAACAAACAAAACTGTGTAGTCTCCCCAATGTAGACACAATTTCAATATGGGCTTTGGGCTGACGCAGCTGACTTAACTACCACCCCTGATCTCCCCACAGGAGACGTGCCAATACCTCAAGAATTACCTGACGCAGAAGCTGGTCCCCTACGTAGTTAACGTATCCTGGGCCACCCAGTATTGCAGCTGGACGCAGTGCCACGGCCACGGGCGTTGTGTGCGCCGCAACCCCAATGCCAACACCTTTCTACACCTCAGCGCCAACAGCTTCCGCCTAGTACCTGGCCAAGCATCTGATAAACCCCATCTGCAACCCGAGGGAGAGCTCAGCCGGGCCGACCTCAGCTACCTGCAGACACACTTTCGCTGCCAGTGCTACTTAGGCTGGGGTGGCGAGCAATGCCAGTGGGACCGCAGGCAGTCAACAGGAGGTGCTAATGGGGGTTGGACCGGGTCTTACCTCACCAGCCTGATGGCTCTGGCAACCATAGCCCTCACTTGGACCTTGTAAAGAGTCAGCTAGCCTCTGCCAAGGAGCTCGCCTGGGCAAATAGGAGCCTGAGGGGATTTAGACAGACAAGACCATACCCACCAGGGCATCCGTATCCAGCTACCCCCCCTCCTGTTCTAAGGGGGAGGGGAAGTCCCCCTTCTTTCCTTGCTAGAGGATTCAGCTGGGCTGGGGTTGTCTTTAAATAGTTTATAATTATTATTATTTGGGGAGTCTCTTGTAAATTAAATATAAAAACAACTGCTTCTGTGTTTTTCTCTTTCTGGATCAGGGCATGTAAGACCGATTCCTGGGTCACCGTGAAGTTGAACTCATTTTCTGTGATACCTTCTGTTAGTAATCTTTTTTTTTTTAACCAGTCCTGAGGCTTGAACTCAGGGCCTTGGGGCTGCTGTCCCCCAGCTTCTTTTGCTCAAGGCTCGCATTTTACCACTTGAGCCACAGAGCCACTGCTGGCTTTCTCTGTGTATGTGGGACTGAGGAATCGAACCTGGGGCTTCATGCATGCTAGGCAAGCACTCTGCCACTGAGCCACATTTCCAGCCCCTGCTAGGGACTTCTCACTTGTAAAATATGGTCATGAGGAGTTGGAAGACCACAGCTACCCACTCTTGTGGTTCTAGTGTTGGGTCAGGGAACACTAGGAGTAGAGGGACTCACACAAAGCCTCAACACCAAAGATGGACCTTGCTAGGTTTTTTGTTTGTTTGGTTTGGGTTTTGTTTTGTTTTGTTTTTGACCGTTGTAGGGCTTGAACTCTAGGCCTGGGCGCTGTCCCTCAGCACTTCATCTCAAGGAGAGTGCTCTACCATTTGAGCCACAGCACCACTTCTGGTTTTCTGGTGGTTAATTGGAGATAAGAGTCTCATGGACTTTCCTGCCCGGGCTGGCTTTGAACCTTGATGCTCAAATCTCAGCCTCCTGAGTAGCTAGGATTACAGGTATAAGCTACCCGTACCTGGCTTTTTTTTTTTTTTGTATGCTGTTCCTGGAGTTGGAATTGAGAACCTAGGTGCTGTCCCAGGGCTTTTTAGCTCAAGGTTAGTGCTCTGCCACTTGAGCCAGGGCTCCATTTCCAGCCTTTTGCTGGTTAGTTAGGGATATGAGTGTCACAGACTTTCCTGTCTGGGCTGGCTTTGAACTGTGATCCTTCATATTTCAGCTTCCTGAGCAGCTAGGACTACTGGTGTGAGCCACTGGCCCCCAGCTAGACCTTGTTTTCTATTGATTGGAATGCAATTGAGCCCCACGTTGTATGAGTTATATGAGCAATGGCGCTTGCTATGCTTCTACCTCTCCTCCTGCACCCCAAATTGAATTTGTGTCAGTCTCCTAGCCTTGCCCCCCAAGGGAGAAAGGGGAAATAGATGTTTGATCTTCCCTGCTTCCAAGGACAACCGAGTCCTGCCGTGTGTCTCATTTGGGTCAGAGCCTTCCCGTGGGTCTAGTATGGAAGAAGGCAGGCAGGGGATTGGGATGTCAATGTTGAGGTTCAGTCCCTGTCAAACTAATAATTGACAGGGCTGAAGGGTAGCACCCGAAAAAATATATTGTTCGTGTGTGTGTGTGTGTGTGTGTGTACCTTTCCTAGCTACTTTAGGAGGCTGAGCTCCAGAAAACCAAATGGACTCCAAGCCAGCCCAGGTAGAACAAGTCCCTGAAATCCATCTCGAATTGGCCAATAAAAAGCCGCGTTGGCCCTGACACTGGCGACTCATACCTGTAATCCTAACTACCCAGGAGGCTGAGATCTGAAGATCAGTTTGCAGCTACAAACCCAACCCCTCAAGGAAGTCCTGGAGACTCTTTATCTCCAGCTAACCACAAAAAAAAAAAAAAAAAAAGCCGGGTGCCAGTGGCTCACACTTGTCATCCTAGCTACTCAGGAGGCTGAGATCTGAGGATTGAAGTTTGAGGCCAGCCAAGGCAGGAAAGCCCATGAGACTCTTACCTCCAATAAACCACTCAGAAAACCAGAAGTGGGCTGGGCGCTGGTGGCTCACACCTGTAATCCTAGCTACTCAGGAGGCTGAGATCTGAGGATCGAGGTTCAAAGCCAGCCCGGGCAGGAAAGACCGTGAGACTCCTATCTCCAATAAACCACCAGAAAACCGGAAGCGGCGCTGTAGCTCAAGTGGTAGAGGGCTCACCTTGAGCTGAAGAGCTGAGGGACAGCGCCCAGGCCCAGAGTTCAAGCCCCACGACCGACAAAAAAAAAAGAAAACCAGAAGTGGTATAGTGGCTCAAATGGTAGAGTTCTAGCTTGAGCTGAAGAGCTGAGGGATGGTATTCAGCCCAGAGTTCAAGCCCCATGACCAACCAAAAAAAAAAAAAAAGGCCAGAAGTAGAGCTGTGGCTCAAGTGGTTAGAGTACCAGCCTTAAGCATAAAAGGTCTAGAGGTTACAGATGCTTAAGCCCCAAGCCAGGCACCAAAAGGAGAAAAAGAAAATGCCCTCCAGCAGAGTCAGAGCAAGCCTTGAGCTGCTAAAAAGACCCCACCTCTCTCCTTAGACATCAGATCTACCTGAGGCCACCTCTGTCTGTGACTCACATTTTTACACAACCCTACCCTCAGGAAATTTACTGACTGGGAAATCACTCAGCCAAAGGGCCTGGGTGGGAAGCTTGCACAAGAGCCTGATTAGCAAAGAAATACTAAAATGGGGTCGGAGGTTGGGAAAGCCGCCCTCCTTCTGCACTTTCTACAAACGGTAAAGAGCTGCAGGAAAGGGCTGGGAAGGTGGCTCAGTGGTAGAGCGCTTGCCTTGCATGCATGAGGCCCTGGGTTCGATTCCTCAGCACCACATAAGCAAAAAGAAAAAAAAAAACGCCGAAAGTGGCGCTGTGGCTCAAGTGGTAGAGTGCTAGCCTTGAGCTGAAGAGCTAAGGGACAGCGCCCAGGCCCAGGGTTCAGGCCCCCCCCCCCAAAAAAGGCTGCGGGAAGTTGGAACACAGCCTCACAGCCTATAATGAGTTCAGACCTCCGTTTGGCTTTGAGTCAACTGCCTCCATCCATTCACCTGGCCCTGTCCTGAGCTGGGCATTTGGAGACATATCTGTAAACCCCATTAATATAAACCTCTGTGCTCATGGGAATGACAAAGTTGGAGGGACAGACTAGATACCAAAACCACATCAAAGGCTAGGTGAGGAGAGTGTTCCAGACAAACACACGTGGATGAGAGGCACTGGTGAGGGAAGCAAAGCCGGAGGAACTAGCTTGGCCATCCAATGTCAACTGAGATAGTAAACAAGTCCCTCCAAACTGGGTGCTGGGGCTGATGTTTGGAATCCTAGCTGTTCAGGAAGCTGAGATCTGAGGATTGAGGTTCAAAGCCAGCTTTCATCTCCAATTAACCACCAAAAAAACCCAAAACCCCAATAAAAGCTGGAGGTGGAGCTGTGGCTCAAGTAGTAGAGCTCTAGCCTTGAACAAAAAAAGCTCAGGTACAGTGCCTGGGCCTTGAGGTCAAGCCCATATACACATGTGTGCATGCACGCACGTGCACACACACGCACATGCGCACACATGCACACACGCACACATACACACACACACACTAAATATTCCTCTTTATCCCTCTGGATAAAGATGGTAGAAAGCTGGATGGCAGTGCCAGGTGGTTGATAGAAATGTACATAGTCACAGAGGAGGTAGATACAGAAATGGAAGGGTCCCAAGTTCTTCTGGCCATGGTAGGGAGAAGCCAGAACAATAATGAATAATAATGCATGAGATGGAATCCAGCAGAGAGAGACCAGGTCAGGAAGGAAATGTGACCTGTCTCCCCCACCTGTCATTTTCTATACCTGTGACTTTCCTTGGTATAGCAGTGACCCACGTTTAACTCCTTTACCCATAAAACACCAGATCCACACGACCTGTGACCTTTCCCATCTATAACCAACTCCGATAGACCTGTCAACCCCACAATGGGCCAAGAGTTGATCACTATATACAGGACACCTCCCCGCACCGCCCCCCCCCCCCGGCCAGCTGTTACCTTCCTGAAACATCTGTGTCTTCTCTCTACCTATGGCCTCTCCTACCCCTGTTCATCCTATACCCTTCCATGTCCATACCACAACACTCTGGACATGAGCAAAAACGCAACCCAAGGCAGCCAGAACTACTTTGGGGGAGGAGGGGTTGGGGAGGGAGGAGCAAGGGGTAGATAAAGTCAAGGGATTGAGGAGAAAGGTAGCTTAGGAGCCTGAGGCATGTAGAGCCAGAGGAAAGTCAGAATTGGACCATTAAGCACACACACACACACACACACACACACACATACACACACACACACACACACCCCTTGTAGGAATCCAATTAGACTGGCCCAGCAGGAATAGGCCTATAGGCAGGGACTTTAGGTACATACTTGAGCACTTTCCCACTGTTCCAGCCTTCCTTCTACCTGGGCCTGAGGCCGGCTACAAACTACTGGCCTGCTGAGTACCAGGATTGTGCCAACTGCAGCATTTCTGGGGGCATTGAGAGGTAGTGGGGAGAGCCAGGTGCCTGGCTACTCTGAAGGCTGAGATCTGAGCATAGAGGTTCAAAGCCAGCCTGGGCAGGAAAAGACCGTGAGACTTATCTCCAATGAGCCGGCAAAAGGGCAAAAGCAGAGCTGTGGCTCAGGTGGTAGAATGCCAGCCCTGAGCAAAAAAGGCTCAAAGAGAGCACCACCCAGGCCCTGAGTGTAAGCACCAATACCAGGCCTCAAAGAGAGGGACAGAGACTTCTCTCATGTTCTCTTCACTCCTCAGACATTGAGAAGTTGTGCCAGGTTCTCTGGGCTACACATTCATCACCCTTCACCTTTCTTCCTGGTTCCTGAATGAACAGGATCAGTAGCCAAGGTCTCTATGACTTGATCCTTGTCTTGATTGATGTGCCCAGGGCCCAGTCTCCCAGCTTTTTTTTTGTTGTTGTTGCCAGTCCTAGGGCTTGAACTCAGGGCCTGGGCACTGTCCCTGAGCTTCTTTGGCTCGAGGCTAGCACTCTACCACTTGAGCCACAGTGCCACTTCTGGCTTTTTCTGTGTATGTGGTACTGAGGAATCGAACCCAGGACTTCATGCATGCTAGGTAAGCACTCTACTACGAAGCCACAGTCACAGCCTGGGCCACAACAGTCTGGGCTAAGTAAAACCACTAACACAGCACAAATTGCATTTAAAGAGATCAAAGGGCTTCAT